CTTGTCATGATCCACAGAATCGAAAGCCTTTGTGTAGTCAATAAAGCACAGGAAAACATCTCTCTGATATTCTCTGCTTTCAACCAAGATCCATCAGACATCAACAATGATATCCCTCGTTCCACGGCCTCTTCTGAATCCAGCTTATTCATACACAAATTCAACTGAAGCTGAAGAAAATGAAAACAAGTCCACAAGAGCCAAAATATGACCCTGAATATATCCCACCTGAATTTGCAGACCATCTGAAGAGCAGATTTGATACATTAAACACTAAAGACTGAAGACCAGAAGAGTTTGGGAATGACATCAAGAACATCATACATGAAGAAAGCAAAAAGTGATTAAGAAGGTAAGAAAGAAGGAAAAGGTCAAAATGGATGTCAGAAGAGACACTGAAACTTGCTCTCCAGAGCAGAGATGCTAAAGCAAATGGAAGATATGAGGAGGTACAAGAGCTGAACAGAAACTTTCAAAGATCACCTTGAGAGGATAAAGCCAAATGTTACAACAAAATATGCAAAGATCTGGGATCAGAAAACCAAAAAGGAAGAACACGCTCAGCATTTCTCAGACTGGGGGAACTGAAGACAAAATTCAAGCCTCAACATTCATAATTGAAAAATTCTCTGGGCAAATTATTGAATGATGCAGAAAATATTAAGAGAAGATGGAAGGAATACACAGAGTCACTATACCAAAAGGAAATGGTTAATGTGCTACCATTTCAAGAGGTAGCATATGATCAAGAGCCAATGATACTGAAGAAGGAAGTCCAAGGTGCATTGAAGGAATTGGCAAAGAACAAGGCACCAGGAACTGAAGGAATAAAAATCGAAATCTTGCAAGATATTGAGGCAGCACAGGAGGCACTCACTATCTCTGCCAAGAAATTTGGAAGACAACTATCTGGCTGATTGATTGGAAGAGATCCATAGTTGTGCCCATTTCCAAGAGAGGTGACCCAATGGAATGTAGAAATCATTGGACAATATCTTTGACATCCTATGTGAGTAAATTTCACAACCTGTAGGTTTATATAAAATGCTCTTCCATGCATTTAAATGGAAGAAAAGGTGGAATATGTTTGAATTTTTTGTCATGCTTACCTAAAGAACAAAATCCAGTGCCTCATGTATGAAAGGTGGATATGTAGTAGGTAGGTAGAAAGTCATTCGTTACTCTTTTTTTGAGCAATGCTCTTCTCTTGGGTAAACGTGGGTACCCATGAAATAACATCAAAGTAGTTTCCTAAGCCTCTGGTTTTTCAGGATCTGGTGTCAGAATGAAACCAACAGTGAACTCAAAGTGTTCCTTAATACACAGACCTTTTAAGGGAGAGGCAGTGGCTTGCCTTATACACAAGGTGCGGAGTGCTTCCTCAGGGAAATATGAGGGACAGGGAGAGATTGTAGGCAGACTTGTGGCCCAGAGGTAGAGGAGCAACTTGAGGAGATGCAATGTGCTTGGAAAGGAGAATACTGAGGTGGAGGGAGGAATACTTTGTGCTTGGAGAACATAATGGGTGCATGCTTTTAGCTTGGAGAGGAGAATGCAAGGTTAAGGGTGCCTTGTGCTTGAAGAGGAGAATATGAGGAGGGTGTAGTGTGTTTGGGTGGGAGAATGCAGAGGCATGATTGTAGTGTGCTTGGAGAGGAGAATTATGGGAGATAGAAGCAGTGTGTTGGAGATTAGAATGGGATAATGGTTGTGGAATCATATAGCTTGGGAGATTGGAGAGGAAAGATGGTGTGAGATCTTGAAAGCCTCATAGATTTGAGAGTTTGAAGCCTGCAAAGGTCAACCCAAAAGAAATAAAGAATTGTCTTAGTTTCCTATGACTGTTGTAACAAATGACTGTAAAATGGGTGAGTGTGAAGAACAGAAATATGTGACATCACAGTTCTATAGGTTAAAAGTCAGATTCAGGATTTTGACAGAGGCATGTTCTTGTCTCTCTCAGCTTCTGGTATCTCTTGTTGCTTTATTGGTGTTTCTAGATTTGTTTTTTTCTATGTATCTTCATGCGGTGTCTTCTGCTCATTTGACTAAGTCTATGTTGTCTGTCTCCCCTTTTATAAGACACAAGTCAAAAAAGATTAGGACCCATCCTATGTCGATGTAACTTGTTGGCTAAAATGATGACATATGCAAAGAAAAACTCTTATTTCCAAGCAAGGTCACATTCATAGCAGTTAGGACTTCAATGTGTCTGCTTGGAGGACACTATTCAACCCATTACATCAGCCATGGGGGCTGGTCTTCTAGTATTTATTTTCTAGAAAAATCACTGTGGCTACAGAATGAAGAATGACGCTGGAGGGAGAAAAACAGAGGCCAAGTGGGGCCAGTAGGACCTGTAGACTGGATGGACACTGGGGTAAGAAAAGGAATTAGAGTAAATCTCCAGTCTGAGTGATAATGCTCCCTGGTATGGAGGTGAGTGAGACAGACAGAAGGTCAGTGGGAAGATGATGAAAACCTGCCTTTGGGAAACTCTGAGGTCAAGATGGGCTGTCTTGGGGATCCAGGCAAGGTGACCTACCTACCTGAGGAAATAAATAAATTGTGCCTAGAAGGGGGAGGACCAAGCTCAATGATGACTGGACAGAGTCTAATGTAGTATGGGGTGTCCTACATCCAATCCCAAGACCATGAATAGCTAGTGACAAGGTGTATTTCAAGCCCCCAGCTTAATGGGGACCCTAGCCCTTCACCTTGAGCAGGAAGGAAGAGTAGGACAAAGAGCTGTCCCTGACTAAGAAGGAGCACCATCTTGTCCACATCTCACTTCAAGTGAAACAAATGTGCTGTGCTCCAAGCACTGATTTGAAGAGTCTCTTCCAGAAAGACAGATATCACTAAGTCCATCCCTGTCTGCCGTACCACTTCCTGCTCTCTTCCAGAGTCCTAGGTGATCTGTTCTCTTGTAGGCCTCCTCATCAAAGTCAGCTGTGTTCTGACAGGTAGTACACAGACTCTCCCAAGACACTTCATGCATAATAGTTTCCTGACACTCAAGGTGTCCCCTGACTAAAGTAAACTTTAGAGAAAAGACCTTAACCCCACGATTTAGAATAGGGTATGTCACAAGCTTTGGATTCAGACAAAACTGATTTAATTCCAGCTTTGCCTCTTAATAGCTGTCATCATGGGCAAAATAATTAACTTCTCTGAGCCTCAGTGTGCCGATCTCTAAAAGCAGATATTTACCTCCCAAGGTCACTAAAGGGTTGGGCAGTCTATTCAAGCATTTAATTACATTAGCATGTAGAATAGAAATTAATGGATAGAAAAATGTAGATAATCATTTGCATATGATTACCTTAAATTCTGAAATAGCATGTGATAAAATCACTGTTATTCCTTCCAAAATACTTGTCGTTAAGTGCCATAAACTTGGTTCTGACTCATAGCAACCCTGCATAGGGTTTCCGAGGAGTTGCTGGTGGATTTGAGACACCAACCTTGCAGTTAGCAATCCAGTGCTTATCCCCCAGTGCCACATTAGAACTTCAAGAATACTTGTCACAGTAGACACAGAAGGAGAGCTCCTTATATTGACTCAGGCTATCTACAGAAACCTACACATAATGTCACACATGAGTAATATCAGGGGCATTTCTGTTGAGTTAGGCATGTGCCAGGAATTCCTGCTTTTCCTACTATAGTTCATCACTGACTGTATGTGTCAGTGACCCTATACATTAGAGCACAAAGATGCGCTCCATTGGTATAATTGTTGTTGTTGTTAAGTGCTGTTGAGTTGGTTCCAACTCATAGCGACCCTGTACATGGTTTCTGAGGCTGTAAATCTTTATGGAAACAGAAAGCTTCATCTTTCTCCCACAGAACAGCCGGTAGTTTCGAACTGCTGACCTTTAGGTTAGCAGCATGATTAGAAACCACTATGCTACCAGAGTTCACCTGGAAAAGCTAAGTGGAAAACCCTTGGCAAAATGAGTAAAACAGTAATTTTTCTCATGATCTCTTAAAAATTTTTTCAACAAAACATTTGCAATGCCACCAAAATTGAAGAGGTCATTACCAAAATATATGCAAAGTACACACGTGTGCACATTAGAAACATAACATGTATATAGGGTCACTATGAGTCAGAACTGACTCCACAGCACTTAACAACAACAACAATAGTTGTTAAATGAAAGAGTCAATTCAGACTCATAGTGACCCTGTATGGGTTTCTGAAGAGCAGTTGGTGAGTTTAAACTGCCAACCTTATATTAGCAGTCCAGGGCTTATCCTACAGTACCACACCACAAGATCGATTTGAACCACAAGGTCAGTGGAAACCCTTGGGAACCCTATACTGGCACTCAACAACAACATATATGTATATACGTATATGTTGTTTTTGAGCAAATATGTCACTTTGAGTACTAAGGTGTGCTATATATATATAAACGACATATTGTGTTAGGTAAATCTGCTGCACAAGACCTTTTTAAAGTGTTGAAGAGCAGAGATGTCAGCTTGAGAACTAAGGTGCGCCTCACCCAAGCCATTGTATTTTCAATAACCTCATATGCATGCGAAAGCTGAACAATGAATAAGGAAGACCTTAGAAGAATTGATGCTTTTGAATTATGGTGTTGGAGGACAATATTGAAAATGCCATGGGCTGCCAAAAGAACCAACAGATCTGTGTTGGAAGAAGTGCAGCCAGAGTGCTCCTTGGAGGCCAAGATGGCCAAA